AAGACTATTTTGTGATCTGTGAAAATTATATGAACGTCAACTTTCAGCGTTTATAAATAAAGTTTTATTGGAACAAGACACACTGATTTTTTTACCTACTGTCTATGGTGGCTTTTTCCACAGAGCTGAGTAGTTGCTGGTGTTTCACAGCCTGGCACTGCTGCTTGGTGAGTTACAAATCACGGGGAAGACGCTTTCAAACGTGAACTACATAAAATCCATTAGATCGGCATTCACAGATGAGCATTAGCAGCCGATTTGGATGATGGGGCCACTGACTCTGGATCTGCATGAAATGAAATGTGATCCCCCCAAGAATCCCTTCATCTCGTTAGTTGAACCGCATTACAAAAAATAGGACTTAATTACAATTATTATATTTTTTCACCAACAAAGATTTTATAGAATTTTTTGCTCTCGTCCTCTCCTAATTTCCTAAATTTTGCCTCTTGGCCGCGAAGCCTAAAATGTTCGCTATCCTGGTCCTTTAAAGAAAAAGTTTGCTATTTTTGACTTAGACCGTTAGACTGTGCTAGAAATGTCGTTATTTCAGTCTCTCTACTCCACGCCCTGGGTTGTCCCATCCAAACAGGGCCTGAGAATGCTTTACAGACCATAGGCACATGTGGGTTTAAGTGTTCTCACTGCTCTTAGCGGGGCATGAAATGGAAAGGGAAGACTGTCGAAACGCTTCCCACGCCTCAGCCTCCAGGCCGGCTGTCTTCTCCCTTCTGGCAGGTCCAATACCCCCCCTTAACAGCTCAGGGATGCCCCTCGGACTCCCCACAGAAGGAATCGAATTAATCCTGGTCACTGGATGGGTCAGCTCATATCAAACCAGTGGAAAATTCTATAAATATTTATCCAACATCGTGCTAGCAGCTAGATCACTGGGGATCTTATTCTAGGTTAATTGCAACGGCCAGGACTAGGGTGGCTCAGGGGCCCGGGTTCTGCTGGGAGTGGGGACGCTAGCGTGGCGTTTAGCTCGTGCTCCGCCACTCCCCTCCGTGGACCTCCCTGCCTTGCGCCATCTCTCGTCTGCATCTCCAGCCCTGAAGGAGACGAGGCCCGAGTTGGGCTGCCTCCAGGCCGAAGGTTTGTTTTGAACCAGCTACGCTGGCAGTGAGGTCCGTCTGCAGGGACAGTGCCGAGTGTTGCCAATGTCCTGCTTCCTCCCAGGCAGTAAAACCCAGTCCTCGAGATTTTCCCATCCCCAGTCTTGAACAAAATGTCTCTTGACACCCCCCCACCTTCCATCTTCCTCACCCCTCAACCACAGGCCCCCGGGGAGTTCTGGAGCAGACCCATCTCCCATAGCCCCGGGCTCGGCCAAGACCAATTTCTTCATCCAGGATCAATTATTTTTTTCTTCTTCTTACCTTAAAGAACAATAATGAATCACAGTGTCAGCTCCACAGCCCTTTCTATTATTCCCTCCGTCTGCCTTGGGACTTCCTCCTCGGTTGTGTAATTTGGCCTTTACGATATCCTTTCCATGCTAACAAAAATGAAGCACTTGGGTGGGGTGAGAGAGGACGCCTGGCCTCCCGGGCCGGGAACTCGCTTTTGACTCCTGCTCCTCTCTCATCCCCACGTTTCTTGTGGCTTCAGCCACCAAGTCCTACTGTCCTTTTCTCTTCGAATGTCATACATTTTCCATGTACATTCTGCTCTGAGGCCTACTCCCCCCTCCCCCTCCCCCTGACACATACACACTTAACTTGGAAATTTAGACGCTCTAACTCAAGGTTGGGGTTGTGGAGGGAGGTGGTTTGAGGGTGAGAACGTAAAGCAGTGGTTTGGAGACCTCTTCGCATGAGTTCCCGTCTACCATCCTTTGGCTCCAGTCTCGCCTCCTCCAGGCAGCCTTCCTGGGTTCTCTCCAACACACAGGAAGCCCTCTTCTCAGACCCTTTATGCTGCTGGGGACCATGTCTTCAACGCAATGCCAAACTGCTAGAGGCTCATGAATGCGATGCCACCCACGGTGGCGTGCACAGAATGGTCCTCTTCCCTGCATCCCTTCCTCTTTCTCCCTCTT